TCAGACTCGTGCATTTATATATTTTTTTATTATATTATATATTAATTATATATATATAAAATATATATATATATATATAAAATATATAATAATAATATATATATAATATATAAACCAACAAACCCAAAAACACCCACTACTCAAACAAAACCATCGTACACACAACCATCGTACAAACACACACTCGTACACACCACCAATCATACAAACCAACCACTACAACACACACACACCACACACAACACACACACACAACACACACACACACAACAACACCACTCATTTCACACACACACCACTTTATACACCACAACCACTCATAAACACACACTCAACCACTCATAACACCACCACACCACCACTCATAAAACACACACACACAACCCCCACACCACACCCACACACCACACCCCCACACACACCACCCCCACAACACACACCCACAACACACACACCCACACACCAACCCCACACACACCCCAACACACACCCCACACCCCCACACCCCACACACACACCCCCCCCACACACACCCCACACACACACACCCCACACACACACACCCCACACACACACACCCCACACCAACCCCACACCCCACACACAACACACACCCACACACACCCCACACACACCCCACACCCCCACACACCCCCACACACACACACCCCCCCACACCCACAACCAACCCACACACACACACAACCCCCCCCAACCAACACCCCCCACACCCCCCACACACACACCCCACACACCACACCCCCCCCAAAACACACCACCCACACCCCCCCAACCCCACACACACCCAACAAACACCACCCCACACCCCCCCCACACACACACCCCCACTCACCCAACCCCCCCCACCACCACACACACCCACACACACACACCCCACCACACCCCCCACACACCACAACACACAACACCCACACAACACCACACCCACACACAACCCCCACACACACACACACACACCCCCCACACACACCCAGCCCTCCCCCACTACAACACAAAAAACCCCACCACAACCACCACAAAACACACCCCCACACAAAACCCCACACCCCACCCCAAAACCCCCACACCCCACACACACCCACCCACACCACACCCCACACACACACACCCCACACACACCAACACACACCCCACACACACACACCCCCACACACAAAACCACCCCAAAACACCCCACACACAACACACCAACACCAACACACACACACACCACAACACCCACACACACACCACACAAAAACAACCCACACACACACACCCACACACACCCCACACACCCCACACACACCCACACACACCCACACAAAACCACAACCCCCACAAAAAACAACACCACACACACAACACCACCCACCACACACACACACCCCCAACACGCGCACAACCCCACACACACACCACACCACACACACAACACACGCCACCAAACACCACAAACCACCACACCACACAACACCACACTCACACACACAACCCCCACAACACACATACAAACACCACACACACCACCACACACCACACACCCCACACACACACACACACCACACACACCCACACACCACACACAACACACACCCCACCCCAACACACACACCACACCAAACACAACACACCCACACACACCCCACAACACCCACACACCCCACACACACCACACACAAACACACACACACCACACACACAACACAACCACACACACCACCCCCACACACACCAAAACACCACACACAAAACACACCACACAACACACACACCACACCAAACCCCAACCACCCACCACACACACAACACACACCCCACACCACACCAAACACACACACACACACACACACACACACAACCCCACAACACACACACACACACAAAACCACACACACACACCACACCACACACCACACACACACACACCACACACACACCACACACACACCCAACCACACACACCCCACACACACACCCCCACACACCCCACACCCCACACCCCACACACCCCACACAACACCCACACACACCCACACAACACCCCCACACACACCCCAAAAAACACACACCCAACACAACACCCACACAAAAAACCCCACAACCCCACACACCCCCACACACAAACCCCACACACACACAACCCCCCACACACACACAACCCACAACACACACACCCCACACACAAACCCCACACACACAAACCCCACACACACACCCAACACACACACACCCCACACACACACAACCCCCACACACCACAACCCCCCAACACACCCCACACACACACACCCCACACACACACACCCCACACAAAAAACCCACAACACCACACACCAACACACACACACCCCACACACACACCCCACACACACACACCCACACACACCCCACCACCCCAACACACACAAACACAACCCCCACCCCCCCACACACCCCCACACACCAAACACACCCCCACACCACACACCACCCCACACCCCATCACCCCACCCCCACAAACCCCCAAACCCCCCACCCCCACACAAACCCCAACACACCACACACACACACCCACAACACACCCCCCACACACACACCCCCCCCAAAACCACCACACAACCAACACCCCCACAACAACCCCCCACAAACACACCCACAACACCACACACACACCCCACACCACACCCCCCACCCCCACAACCCCCCCCACACACCACACACCCCCACCACAACCCCACAAAACACACACACCCCCACACACCCCCACCCCACAACCCCACACAACACCCACACACACCCCCACCACACACACACCCCCAAACACCACACCCCAACACACACACCCCAAACACCCCACCACCCCACACACCCCACACACACACACCCCAACAAAACCCACACACCACACCCCCCACAACACACAACCCACACACACCCCCCACCCCCCAAAACACACACACCCCCACACACACACACCCCCACCACACACACACCCCACCCCCACACACACACACACCACCCACACACACCCCACACACACAACACCCAAAACCCACACACACACCCACACACACACCCACACACACACCCCACAACCCCCACACCCCCACACACACACACCCCACACACACCCACCACACACACACCCCACCCCACACCCCCACAACCACACCCACACACACACCACAAACACACCCCACACACACACACCACCACACACACACCCACACACACCACCCCACACACACAACCCCACACACAAACCCCCAAAAACACACCCCACAACAACCCCCAACCACACACACACAACCCCACACACAAAACCCCACACACACCCCACACACACCCACCCCACACACCACCCCAAAACCCCACCCACCCCCCCACACCACACACCCCACCACACACCACACCAAAAACCCACACCCACACACCCCCCCCCACCCCCCACCCACCAAAAACCCCCACCCCAAAACCCCCCACCCCACACACACCCACACACCACAAACACCACACCCCCCACACACACACAACACAACCCCCACACACCCACACCCCCCCCACCACACACCCCCTCACAACCCCACAACACACCCAAAACCCAAACACACCCACACCCCAAACACCCCACCCCCACACAACACCCCACACAAACACCACACCAACTCACAAAACCACACACACACACCTCCCACACACACACCCACACACACACACCAACACACCACACACCCCCCCCACAACACACACACCCCACAACCACCCCACACCACACACACACCCACAACAACACCCCCACACACACACACACCCACACACACACCCAAACACACACCCCAAAACCCCACCAACACCCCCCCAAAACCACCAAGCAAAACCACACACCCACCAAACATAATACACCCCAAACCACACAACACATTTAACACACCCCCCACCCCCCCCCCCACACCCACAACCACCCCCCCACACACACCACACAACTACACACACACCACACCCACCACCACCACCACCCCCCCCCCCAACCCCCCCCCCCCCCCAAAAAACCAAACCACCAAAAAAAACCCCCCCAAACCAAAAAAAAACCCAAAACCCCCCCCCCCCCCCCCCCTCCCACCAACACACAAACCCAAAAACCCCCCCACACCAAAACAACAAACCACCCAAACCAAGAGGGGCCGGCTGCAAACCCTTAAAAAAAAGGGGGTTCTTGGCGCCCCCTTTCCCCCCCCCACCACCCCCCGCCCCTTTTTCCCCAAACCCCCACAATTTTAAAACCCGCCCAACGATTTTTTGGGGTTTAAAGGGATTTGTGCCCCCCAAATTGGGGGCCCCCCCCCCCCCCCCCCCAAAGCCCCAAAACACACACACACACACACACACACACACACACACACACACACACACACACACAACACACACACACACACAGAGCAACGGCCAAGCAGGAACCCAGAGCTGCACCAACTTGAGATAATTTAGCCAATTACGCGAGAGCGAGGATTCGGACGTGTTATACTACGCGCGTTGGCTCCCCCTCTCCTCCCCCCTCCCCGTGCGTACTCTACACACAGCCGCTGCTACCCTTCTCGCCACACACACGCACACACACATACACACACACGCACACGCAGCTTGCCTTGTTGCCTGCACTCTTACTGGGCATTTCTTGCCCGTCGCCACCCATACGCCCACGCCCACGCCCCGCCGCCGGCAGAGAGGAGTGCGGCAGGCACTACATGTGAACTCCGCTCCACTACTCACCTTTAAGTTGGGTGTGTGTAAAGTGGCAGTGTTGTGTCAACCAGTGTGGGCACTCATACGCACCTCCGCAGCCCGGGGATGGCACCGGACGTGACACACACCATAATATTGACACTGTGTCATAAACTACAACCCACACTCCTGGAGACGACTCAACACCACCATCAATGTGCCAGTAGAGAGGGAACCTTGTGCTGGAAGGCAGATACTAGTAAAACACTGGGTGGCTTAGAGCAAGCCACTCTCTCAAAGCTTACACCACAACAGGCCTACCTTCAGCTACCGTGCCGTCGTGCTGTCTGCCTGCCACCACCATGAACTATACACTTCATACAACGACCTGCATACACCGTAGTGCCAACCTTGGCCGTCTCTGTCAGAGTGAGTATACACTGCCCCTCGCCCCCTCCGAACACTGCTGACGACCACTGTCAGTGAGTACAAGTCAACCCCCCCCCCCACCACCCAAACTGCTGTCTACTACTGTCAGTGATGCTGTCTAACGCTGCCACATAATACAGTGTCGAGTGTCTTGTGCCAAGTGCTTCAGTCTGGTGTGTAGTTCTTGACACTGTCTTGTGTCAAGTGCTTCAGTGTCTGGTATCTAGTGAATAACAGTGTCTAGTCTAGCGCTTCACCAAGGTAAGTCCTTAACGGTATCTGCCCCCTAGAACTAGTGTGTCCTCTGTCCTTCTGTCACATTCTTTAGTACCACAGTGTCTAGTACCACAGTGTCTAGTACCACACAGTATCTAGAACTACAGTGTGTCCTCTGTCCTTCTGTCACATTCTTTTGTACCACAGTGTTTGGTGTCTAGTACTACACAGTAGTGTTTAGTACCACAGTGTCTAGTACTACACAGTGTTTAGTACCACAGTGTCTAGTACTACACAGTGTTTAGTACCACAGTGTCTAGTACTACACAGTGTTTAGTACCACAGTGTCTAGTACTACACAGTGTTTAGTACCACAGTGTATAGTACCACCCAGTGTCTAGTACCACCCAGTGTCAAGTACCACACGGTGTCAGTACTACACAGTGGCTGGTACTACACAGTGTCAGTACCACCCAGTGTCAAGTACCACCCAGTGTCAAGTACCACCTAGTGTCTAGTACCACCCAGTGTCTAGTACCACCCAGTGTCAAGTACCACACGGTGTCAGTACTACAGTGGCTGGTACTACACAGTGTCAGTGCCACCCAGTGTCTAGTACCACCTAGTGTCAAGTACCACCCAGTGTCTAGTACCACACAGTGGCTGGTACTACACAGTGTCAGTACTACGCAGTGTCTAGTACCACAGTGTCTATTACCACAGTGTGTCTAGTACCACAGTGTCTAATACCACAGTGTGTCTAGTACCACAGTGTCTAATACGACACAGTGGTACTGCAGTGTCTAGTACCACAGTGTCATGTACCACAGTATTTAGCACCAGTGTCTAGTACCACAGTGTCTAGTACCATAGTGTCTAGTACCACAGTGTCTAGTACCACACAGTGTCTACCACAGTGTCTAGTACCACACAGTGTCTAGTACTACAGTGTCTAGTACCACACAGTGTCTAGTACTACAGTGTCTAGTACCACACACTGTCTAGTACCACACAGTGTCTAGTACTACAGTGTCTATTACCACACAGTGTCTAGTACTACACAGTGTCTAGTACCACACAGTGTCTAGTACCACAGTGTCTAGTACTACAGTGTCTAGTACCACACAGTGTCTAGTACCACACAGTGTCTAGTACTACACAGGGTCTAGTACTACACAGTGTCTAGTACTACACAGTGGTCTAGTACTACACAGGGTCTAGTACTACACAGGGTCTAGTACTACACAGTGTCTAGTACTACACAGTGTCTAGTACTACACAGTGTCTAGTACTACACAGTGTCTAGTACTACACAGTGTCTAGTACTACACATGGTCTAGTACTACACAGTGTCTAGTACTACACAGTGTCTAGTACTACACAGTGTCTAGTACTACACAGTGTCTAGTACTACACAGTGTCAGTACTACACAGGTTAGTCCACAGGTCTAGTACTACACAGTGTCTAGTACTACACAGTGTCTAGTACTACACACAGTGTCTAGTACTACACAGTGTCTAGTACTACACAGGTCTAGTACTACACAGTGTCTAGTACTACACAGTGTCTAGTACTACACAGTGTCTAGTACTACACAGTGTCTAGTACTACACAGTGTCTAGTACTACACAGTGTCTAGTACTACACAGGGTCTAGTACTACACATGGTCTAGTACTACACAGTGTCTAGTACTACACAGGTCAGTACCAAGTATCTACACAGGGTCTAGTACTACACAGGTCTAGTACTACACAGTGGTCTAGACCACTAGTACTACACAGTGTCTAGTACTACACAGGTCTAGTACTACACATGTCTAGTACCACAGTACTACACATGGTCTAGTACTACACAGGTCTAGTACTACACAGTGTCTAGTACTACACAGGGTCTAGTACTACACAGGGTCTAGTACTACACAGTGTCTAGTACCAGAGTCCCTACACAGTGTCTAGTACTACACAGTGGTCTAGTACTACACAGGGTCTAGTACTACACAGTGTCTAGTACTACACATGGTCTAGTACTACACATGTCGTACCAATAGTACTACACAGGTCTAGTACTACACAGTGTCTAGTACTACACAGTGTCTAGTACTACACAGTGTCTAGTACTACACAGTGTCTAGTACTACACAGTGTCTAGTACTACACAGTGTCTAGTACTACACAGTGTCTAGTACCACAGTAGTACTACACAGGTCTAGTACTACAGTCAGTACTACACAGTGTCTAGTACTACACATGTACTACACAGTGTCAGTACTCACATAGTACTACACAGGTCTAGTACTACACAGTGTCTAGTACTACACAGGGTCTAGTACTACACATGGTCTAGTACTACACAGTGTCTAGTACTACACAGGGTCTAGTACTACACAGGGTCTAGTACTACACAGTGTCTAGTACTACACAGTGTCTAGTACCACAGTAACTACACAGTCTAGTACTAACAGTGTCTAGTACTACACAGTGTCTAGTACCACAGTAGTACTACACAGGGTCTAGTACTACACAGGGTCTAGTACTACACAGGGTCTAGTACTACACAGTGTCTAGTACTACACAGTGTCTAGTACTACACATGGTCTAGTACTACACATGGTCTAGTACTACACATGGTCTAGTACTACACAGTGTCTAGTACCACAGTAGTACTACACATGGTCTAGTACTACACAGGGTCTAGTACTACACAGTGTCTAGTACTACACAGGGTCTAGTACTACACATGGTCTAGTACTACACAGTGGTCTAGTACTACACAGTGTCTAGTACTACACAGTGTCTAGTACTACACAGGTCTAGTACTACACATGGTCTAGTACTACACAGTGTCTAGTACTAACACAGTGCTAGTACTACACAGGTGTCCTAGTTACTACACAGTGTCTAGTACCACAGTCTAGTACTACACAGTGTCTAGTACTACACAGTGTCTAGTACTACACAGGGTCTAGTACTACACAGTGTCTAGTACCACAGTAGTACTACACAGTGTCTAGTACTACACAGTGTCTAGTACTACACAGTGTCTAGTACCACAGTAGTACTACACAGTGTCTAGTACTACACAGTGTCTAGTACCACAGTAGTACTACACAGGGTCTAGTACTACACAGTGTCTAGTACCACAGTAGTACTACACAGTGTCTAGTACCACAGTAGTACTACACAGTGTCTAGTACCACAGTAGTACTACACAGTGTCTAGTACCACAGTTAACTACACGTCTATACACCAGTGTCTAGTACCACAGTAGTACTACACAGGTCTAGTACTACACAGTGTCTAGTACCACAGTAGTACTACACAGTGTCTAGTACTACACAGTGTCTAGTACCACAGTAGTACTACACAGTGTACTAGTATCTACACAGTGTCTAGTACCACATGTACTACACAGGTAGTACTTACACCAGGTCTAGTACCACAGTAGTACTACACAGTGTCTAGTACTACACAGTGTCTAGTACCACAGTAGTACTACACAGGGTCTAGTACTACACAGTGTCTAGTACTACACAGTGTCTAGTACCACAGTAGTACTACACAGGGTCTAGTACATATACACACAGTGTCTAGTTACCACAGTTAGTACTACACAGTGTCTAGTACTACACAGTGTCTAGTACTACACAGGTCTAGTACTACACAGTGTCTAGTACCACAGTAGTACTACACAGTGTCTAGTACCACAGTAGTACTACACAGTGTCTAGTACTACACAGTGTCTAGTACCACAGTAGTACTACACTGTCTAGAACACAGTGTCTAGTACTACACAGGGTCTAGTACTACCAGTGTCTAGTACTACACAGTGTCTAGTACTACACAGTGTCTAGTACTACACAGTGTCTAGTACTACACAGTGTCTAGTACTACACAGTGTCTAGTACTACACAGTGTCTAGTACTACACAGGGTCTAGTACTACACAGTGTCTAGTACTACACAGGGTCTAGTACTACACAGGGTCTAGTACACACAGTCTAGTACTACACAGTGTCTAGTACCACAGTGTACTTACACAGGTCTAGTACTACACAGTGTCTAGTACTACACAGTTGTCCTAGTACACACAGTGTACTACACAGGTCTAGTACTACACAGTGTCTAGTACCACAGTAGTACTACACATGGCCTAGTACTACACAGTGTCTAGTACTACACAGTGTCTAGTACCACAGTAGTACTACACAGTGTCTAGTACTACACAGTGTCTAGTACTACACAGTGTCTAGTACTACACAGTGTCTAGTACTACACAGTGTCTAGTACTACACAGTGTAGTACTACACAGTGTCTAGTACTCACAGTCTAGTACTACACAGTGTCTAGTACTACACAGTGTCTAGTACTACACAGTGTCTAGTACTACACAGTGTCTAGTACTACACAGTGTCTAGTACTACACAGTGTCTAGTACTACACAGGTCTAGTACTACACAGTGTCTAGTACACACAGGTCTAGTACTACACAGTGTCTAGTACTACACAGTGTCTAGTACCACAGGTCTAGTACTACACAGTGTCTAGTACTACACAGTGTCTAGTACCACAGTAGTACTACACAGGGTCTAGTACTACACAGTGTCTAGTACTACACAGTGTCTAGTACTACACAGTGTCTAGTACCACAGTAGTACTACACAGTGTCTAGTACTACACAGTGTCTAGTACCACAGTAGTACTACACAGTGTCTAGTACCACAGTAGTACTACACAGTGTCTAGTACCACAGTAGTACTACACAGTGTCTAGTACTACACAGTGTC